ATTAATTATATGTGTATAATATATATATATATAATACATATAATATTTTATATATAATATATATAAAATATATAAATATATATATATATATGAATGAATATTTAATAAACTGGTATTCAAAATGGTACGGAAGGTCGGAAATAAAAGAGTTGTAATATACAATATTTTTCTTAGATGAGGACGGGATTAGTTTGGTTGCCTATCACGTGAAATTTAACAGCGATTTCTACAGTCTTGAGGCGGGAACAATCGCCGTTGACATTATCAAACCTAAGGATGGTCGATGGACTTACGAAGATCACAGCACTAAACTANGCCCGCGCAAACGTTATGGGACTTCAATTTCCGCGTTTCCCGATCACGTGTATATGCCTTTGTTTCGGAAATAGCTGCGCACGTGCCGTTTCCGCCGTCTGTTTTATTAGCTGCGGATCCGTCGTAATTATAAAAATCTAATTGGAAAAACAACGTTTTTCATTAACTCGTCCACTGTGCCGCTCATAAATTATTTTATATAATTTATTAAAATAATCGCCTTATATTTATAATAATTTTATATATAATAATAATATATATATATTATAATTTATTAAAATAATCGCTTTATATTTATAATAATTTTATATATAATAATATAATATATATATTATAATTTATTAAAATAATCGCCTTATATCTATAACAATTTTATATATATATATTATATATATATATATAATAATATATATATATAAAATTGTTATAGATATAAGGCGATTATTTTAATAAATTATAATATATATATTATATTATTATATATAAAATTATTATAAATATAAAGCGATTATTTTAATAAATTATAATATATATATATTATTATTATATATAAAATTATTATAAATATAAGGCGATTATTTTAATAAATTATATAAAATAATTTATGAGCGGCACAGTGGACGAGTTAATGAAAAACGTTGTTTTTCCAATTAGATTTTTATAATTACGACGGATCCGCAGCTAATAAAACAGACGGCGGAAACGGCACGTGCGCAGCTATTTCCGAAACAAAGGCATATACACGTGATCGGGAAACGCGGAAATTGAAGTCCCATAACGTTTGCGCGGGCGATATAATTTTCATAGAGAATTTTGACACGCTCAATACAGACCGCTGGAAGGTCATCGAACGTTTCTCGATGGAACCGGTAAGTCCGCTAACCGTTTGACGACCGGTTCTTCAAGGCATCACGTACCGGTTCTTATCGTTTTATTTGATAAGAAGCATCGCCGCAAAAATCTGCAACAGGTTTTTAGATATCAGAGAAACGCTGTACATGTTTCAGAACTCCGAATTCGTTGTGTACTTAAACCACGAAAACAATGTTTACGTTCAAGATGGCCTCTTGTACATTAAACCGGTTCAAGTTAAGGACAAATACGGTTTCAGGTTTGTGGAGGACGGTTCGCTGACATTGGACAAGTAAGATCTCGTTTTTGTGTAACGATAGCAACGTATCTTTTCATTGCTCGATTATCATGTTTCATTTTTTTTCGGCTATTTTAGATGCACGGAACAGATCGGTAGCGAATATTGCACGCGACGGGCAAAAGGCTGGGACATTTTGCCGCCTGTAATGTCGGGACGATTAAATACTAAACATTCGTTCAACTTGATGTACGGGAAGATTCAAGTCCGGGCTAAATTACCGCGCGGCGATTGGATATATCCACGTACGTTATAATATTAATATTGCGGCGGCAACCTTCGGACCCGTCAGCAGATGGATCCTCCTTTCCCGCAAATAACCGATCCGCCTCAATTTGTATATACAGGATGTCCCAAAAATGTCTCGCAATACGGAAATGTGGGGTAGCTGAGGTCATTCCAAGTAACTTTTTCCTTTGCGAAAATGCGATCTGCGGCATTGTTTACGAGTTATTAACGAAAAGCAGTGACCAATGAGAGGCGAGCTCAGCTGGCGCGAGGCGACCGAGCCAATGAGCGGAACTGGGCTCCGTGCGCTGGTTGGCTGGGCTGCCTCGCGTCAGCCGTACTCGATTCTTATTGGTCACTGTTCTTTCGTTAATAACTCGTTAACGGTGCCTCGGAGAAAATTTTTGTAAAGGAAGAAGTTGCTTCAAATGATCCGAGGAACCCGTCATTTCCGGATTGCGAGACATTTTTGGGACACTTTGTATGTACAATTTAAATCTATTACGTTCGCAATTATAATATTGTCGTCATTCGGTTCGCTTTCGCGTGTTTCGTTTTAGTGATCGCTCTAGAGAGCGCCGATCAACCAAATTCGACGATCTTCAGTACCATCGTGATCGCAAATTCGTTCGGCAATCCGACACTTATAACAACCAGTGGGAAAGACATAGGCAGCCACGTCCTCCAGGCCGGCGCAGTCGTAACTACTTTGGGGAATGGTAATATACGAGACAACCGAATGGATCTCCCAACGAAGACGTTAAACGTTCTGTGGTCCGAACATTATCATGTCTACGAAGTTGAGTGGAGACGCGGACGACTCATTCTTAAAGTTGACGGCCAACAATACGGGGAACAGAGGGTGCCGTATCTGTTCGATGCTCCAGTAAGTTGAGATCCTCAAACCACGAATGTATCTGTTTCTATTGGACGAAACTCTCTACCTTCTTTGATCATTACGGAATTTGATGTTCTTGTTAAGACGTTAATTATTATGGGACTTTTATGTCTTTTCTCACGAACAATAACCTACTTTTCACGATTACATGATTCGTTTAAAAGCTAGACTTCGCAAATTAAAAACTACAATTTTTTTCGATTTTGAAGCACAGCACTTGAAAATCATTCTGAGATATATTTTATTTTGTTAAGAGATTAAAAAGTTGGTATATCTTATTCAAAAATTGCGAAATGTGATCGAACTATGAATTCGTATTTTCATTGAAATCGTTTTCATTTAGACAGTTAATACAGGGTGTCCCAAAAATGTCTCGTAATCCTCTGGTCATTTGTAGCAACTTCTTTCTTTACAAAAATTTTCTCCGAGGCACCGTTAACGAATAATTAACAAAAAACAGTGACCAATAAGAATCGAGTACGGCTGACGCGAGGCGGCCCAGCCAACCAGCGCACGAAGCCCAGTTCCGCTCATTGGCTCGGTCGCCTCGCGCCAGCCGAGCTCGCCTCTCATTGGTCACTGTTTTTCGTTAATAACTCGTTAACGGTGCCTTGGAGAAAATTTTTGCAAAGGAAAAGGTTGCTTCAAATGACCTGAGGAACCTGCCACTTTCGGATTGCGAGACATTTTTGGGACACCCTGCATATCGCAACAGAAATTTCGAATCGTTTAATGACATAAAACTGAAAAATTAAAAAACTGTGTAACATTGGTCAGTGATGACCACTAAAATTCCACTAAAAAATCAAATTCCAGTCATAAATTATCACGGTGGAAATCAACGTGTCAAACAAATCAATGCTCTTTAATCGGCCGATAAAAGACCTATTGTTATCGGCGTTTCATCTAAATTCCCTTTGCAAATATTATGGATCATTGTTAATTTACTTATCGTACACGATCATAGTTTTACATCGACGTGGGCTTGGGAGTCGGAGGTTACAACATTTTCCCCGACCGATGCAGAAGTGGCAATTATCTGAAACCGTGGAAAAACAAGGGCGTGAAGGTACGTAAAACTGTTTCTGACAGAGGCCATCCCAAGAGAATATTCTTGACACAACGGTTTGCATTACAGGCGAGGTATAACTTCTACATATCGGACAGCTTCTGGCGACCTACGTGGGGGGTTCGAGACACAGTTATGGCAATAGACTACATCAAAGTACTGGCACTGTAGACGCTAAAAACATCGACTTGGAAATTTTCAGTACATTAAATACCTTGACACTTCCATTGTTTGCATATTTAACCTTTTAGGCACGACGCGCCACTATAGTGGCTTCCGCGGATATCATATTTTAGAACGACGCGCCACTATAGTGGCTTTCGCGGATGTCATCTCTCTGGACGACGCGCCACTATAGTGGCTTGCTCTAATAGCTCACACGCTCATCGTTTGAAAATAAATAATAATCGTCTTCATATACATTGTTTCACACTTCTTTTGTCTTCGCATCGATTTACAACAGTCTACAGGGTGTCCCAAAAATATCTCGCAATCCGGAAATGGCGGGTTCCTCGGATCATTCGATGCAACTTCTTCCTTTACAAAAATGTTCTCCGAGGCACCGTTACCGAGTTATTAACGAACAACAGTGACCAATAAGAATCGAGTACGGCTGACGCGAGGCGGCCCAGCCAACCAGCGCACGGAGCCCAGTTCCGCTCATTGGCTCGGTCGCCTCGCGCCAGCTGAGCTCGCCTCTCATTGGTCACTGTTTTTCGTTAATAACTCGTTAACGGTGCCTCCGAGAAAATTTTTGTAAAGGAAAAAGTTGCTTCAAGTGGCCTGAGGAACCCGCCACATTCGGATTGCGAGGCATTTTTGGGACACCCTGTATATACAGACAGAATATACAGTATCAGACTCTGTTCAGTACATATCAGACTCTGCCGTCCAGAGAAATAGCCTCGCGCAGAATTCAGCCGTACCTAAAAGGTTAACCATTGACTTATGAGAAATAAAATGGTTCGTAAAGCTACAGAATATCGTTGGTTCGGTACTTGGCATGCTTCAGCAAACTCGGCCATACTCGGCGCACGCGATTCGAAATGAACAAAAATGAACAGTAATCAATTCAGAGTTTCCTTTGGAAGTGCTCCCAAGGCCTGCGAGTGCGCGTGCGGCACCAAAAAGGGCGATCCGATCCACTGGCACAGCGGTTTCCGCCATTTCGTACGAAAAAGTGACGTCGCGAACGAAGTGACGTCATAACGCTTATTGCCACCAAATAATATTCAGCACTCGTAGTGGAAATGAAATATACTGGATATTCGCTTCTTGCTAACGTGCCTATGATTGTCGACCGCCGGTAGGCTGTCGGTCGACTGTCGGTAACGTTGAGTGCGACACGAAATGGTAAGAGAGCTGTAGAGTCCTAAAAGGTTGAGATAGGAAAGCCCATAAGATGCAATGTCTGTACGAATCCTAAATCTGTTTCCCTTCAGCTTGCGAATCAAAATGGACAATTTGGCAAGAGGCCATTTTTATAGTTAGACGGTAATTATAAAAACGAGGTGCAAGACTCGAATAATTGTATCTCCTCTTCTCAAATATGTAATCCATTTTTGTTTGCAAGCTGATGGGAAATTGGGGAGAATTTGCTGTATATTTAAGCAAATCAAAAATAGTGTTTATGATATGTAACACAAAAGAAATGATATTTCATTATTATGCAAATACATAATTCTTTATTTGTTTCTTTTCTCTATATTGAAACAAATCTTCGTAAATTCCAATACATGTATTAAACATTAAAATTGAAATTCCGTAAATATACTTATGTATACTTCATTTCGATGACTACGGTTTGTTTACGTGCAATTGCAATGCCTTTTTCATTTTAAAGACAATATGTAATTAAGGAACGCTCGGAACTGACAGCATTGGTCAACCAAAAATTTCAGATCAAAATACTACCACACAACATATACAATGTGTGTATTATAAAGCAAGATCACGTATAAAATAAACATACAAAACATGTATAACTAGATGCCATATGAAAACCATATATAACCATATAAAATAACATATATATAATGTTAATATAATAACCATATAAAAATAACATATACAACCATATAAATAACCATATAAAACTATAACCTTATATAAATGAGAAAGATATCTAAAATAAGATTCAATGATTATACGGACAGAAATGGTTTATCACAAAGCTACAAATATTTAAGTTTCTCTACATTTCAAAACACTGTAGAAACCAGAGCAGAAGGAAGAAATGGCCGTGTAATAAATGTTCCAGTGAGTGAAGTGCGTGCGCGTCAAGAATGTGTGTGGAGAGCAAGGTATGTGTGCGTGTGTGTGTGTGTGTTGCGAGCGCGTGTGCCACGTGCTGAACGAAGAGGGGCAGCGGCCCGAAAGAAAACAAACAAATGAGTGTAGCGCCTCGAGCAAGAGAATAAAGAAGTAAGAAGAACGAAGGTAGCCAGCGTCCAGCCTGGAAGTATGTATTATACAGGGTGTCCCGAAAATGTCTCGCAACCCGGAAATGGGAGGTTCCTGAGGCCATTCGGAGCAACTTTTTCCTTTGCGAAAATTTTCTCCGAGGCTTCGTTTACGAGTTATTAAAGAAAAACACTGACCAATAAGAGGCCAGCTCGGCTGGCGCGCGGCGGCCCAGCCAACGAGTGCACGGAGTCCAGTTCCGCTCATTGGCTCCGTCGTCCCGCGCCAAATGATCTCGCCTCTGATTGGTCACTGTTTTTCGCTAATAACTCGTAAACGAAGCCGCGGATTGCATTTTCGCTAAGGAAAAAGTTGCTTCAAATGACCTCAGGAATCCCCTACTTTCGGATTGCGAGACATTTTTGGGACATCCTGTACATCGAATTTTGTACTAGAATATATTTCTTTCTTTAAAATATTAAATTGAGTTAATATAATATTAATTAATATAATAATTAATAATAATTAATAATAATTAATAATAATTAATAATAATTAATATAATATTGAGTAATATAATATTAAATATTAAATTGAGTGATTCCTTAATCGAGATATCCGTTCGGATGACTCGCGATAGGGAATCCCACATAAATATTAAGCAAATCTTCGAAGCTCTTGTCATAATCACCGCATAAACAGAATTCCATAACGTAAATTAATGGAAAATAAATTGTTAGCGTGGCATTGCGTAAACGCAACGTTGAGCGTGAAACGGGTCAGAAGAAATAACGGGGAACGATTTTCAGGAATAACATTTCGCACGTACAATTAATATCTCCATGTATTTTGTTATATATTTACAATTTTATAACAGAAACGTTAAACGTAACAGGCGGTCTCGCACTCGGCTGAAAGGTGGGCGTAAGGTGTCTTTCCAGTGGAGCGCGAGGCAGCGAAAAGTCACATAAATATAATAATATTCGTCATAATAAATTCATTACAATCCATAATATGTATATGTAATATACGTTATTTAAATTTTTGTTAAACATCCGCTCAACCGGTTCAGTTGTTTTCGCTTATCAGCTTCATCCTGTTTACCGACTGTTCATTCCCCTTAATTACGTCTATTATTACTCGCATTTCTCTTTTTTTTTTTAGTCTTTAATTGTATTCGGATTGTCCGTACTTGATGATATTTATTTATGTAATCCTCTCACCGCGACATTCAGCGTGCGCCGCGGGAGTTTCTTAAACGAAAAAAAAAAATGAAGGAAAAGGATTTCATCCCTTTTGTTCATGACCTATTTGTGTGTCACTACAGGAAACGGACCGACCGGTTCTGGATCGCTGCAGCCTCGACGAGAATACACAGAACAAGGTCGTTATTCATTTTTCTGTTTCTCGCCTCTTAACGTATGTACAAAAAACAGTGATTTCTCTGATTCTTTTCTTCCGTGGTTTCTATTCACCAACACCGTGCCCCCTTTTACCCCCTTTAAGCTCGGTTCTCACGATTCCGTCACGCTCCACCATGAGAACTTTTCCTTAACGCGTTCACTGCTGTCGACGCAAGCTTGGTGGTTTCTCTCTCGGTTCGCGATTAGTTTGCCTCGGAGCCTCGTTCTCTATCTCTATAGCTTCTGTTTTCTTTCTCAAATCAAAGTTTCATACAATGCCGTACACTCGTATACGCGCGCGCGCCGTCTTTTTCGCAAGACCAACGAAAATGATTATAAATAGAATCTCTTTGATCACACGACGTCTTTTTTGATTACGTTTAAACGATTTTGATTCGAGTCCGTTCCACAGCAGTAAAAGCGCTAAACATCGTTCACCGTAGAATCCTTTGAAGCGTATTCTGTTTTCAAGTATGCTAAACGTCTCCTACGTAAAACGTGAACACACTCGTTTAAGTAATAATAAGTTCGGTTCGTTAATAAGAATCCGGCTGATCGGCCGCACGCGACGTAACATTGCAACAAAAATCCCCTATATATATATATATATATCGAACAGTAACTCAAGGGACCATTTCCGTCGATTTAGTTGCTCCAAAGGATCGAATAAAACCGTGGGACTCGCGTCACTCGTCCGGATCGATCGGAGTCACGTTGCTCTGCTGCGTTTCTTCGTGAATTTTTACGAGCTTCTCTGGCAGTGTGTTACGCATAATAACGGATTTTTACGGTAGTCTTTATGTTACACCTATATGTATACGTATATTTTTACAAAAAGTCACGCACACATTTGAAATCCAATACTAGGCGCGACGGCTCCTGTCTCTCTCTCTCTCTCTCTCCTCGACGCTTTCACATCGCCGAAGAGCAGTGTTCATAGATTCTCACGATCCTTCGATTACGCGGTGTACAATCATTTTCACACGCACACTTAACAGTTTCGGGTTAAGTCCATATACCCCCACCCCCCGGTTATCAACGAAGCATTATTAAACAATGTCAAACAATCGGAATCGCGCTGCCTTAACGAAGGTCATGCTCGCGATGACGATCTCTGGCGACAGTACGATTTTTTGTGTGTGTTACACTAAGCATAATTCGTCGATCATGTTCTAGCGACGATTATTTAGACATAATTTAAGTTGTAATTGGTCGTTGGTTTTTACAAATTATAACGTGCTGATTGTTCTATAATCGAATCGGTTTATAATGGTCGAATTCAAATCGTTGTTGTATCCTTGTTGAATAACAGAGGCGCCATCAATTCGGAGAATCGATGATTCCTTTAGACGCAGCGATATACGATTAAATGTTTTCCGCTGAAAACGATACAATTTCGTGGCAACACGAGCTCTGGATAAGATAAGAATAAAACTGCGTTGCTCGTCGACGATCGAATCTTTTGATTGACAGAAGGGGATTTACGGATTCAATTGGCTGTGTCCGATTGTACTTTTGAATGCCTTTGCTATTTTCTATACTTAATCCGATTTCGTTACTTAGGTACTCAAAGTATTCTATTTTCCTTCGTATTAACCCTTCGGAGTCTATCGGCACATATGTGTCCCACAGAATGTATTTCGTACGTCATAACATAACCTCTCAGTTTGGTAGTGAAGTCGGACCAACACTAATAAAATCAACGTTTCTTGTTATTAGCATCTACATGCACGTAAAACTTGACTTCAGACATAACGCAAATTTAACGAAAAATAAATCAGACTCGAAAGGGTTGAATAACAAGAGTTTGAAGAGTTGAAGAGAGTTTAGGAAATTATTCGACCTGGTATAACGATCAGTGTCTCTCAATGAACAGTGTCATTGAACAACGAATATTTACGCGTTTCTAGTTAGAACGAACGTGTGCAATCGTACCACGAATATACCAGTCTTAGAATGCATATTACGAACATATTTGTTTATATGTGACCACATAACCTCTCGGTTTGGTAGTGAAGTCAGACTAATAAAATCAACATTTCTTGTTATTAGCAAATATAACGCAAATTTAACGAAAAATAAATCGGACTCCAAAGGGTTGAATAACAAGAGTTTGAAGAGTTGAAGAGAGTTTAGGAAAATATTCGACCTGGTATAACGATCAGTGTCTCTCAATGAACAGTGTCATTGAACAACGAATATTTACGCGTTTCTAATTAGAATGAACGTGTACAATCGTACCACGAATATACCAGTCTTAGAATGCATATTATGAACATATTTGTTTACATGTGAGCACATAACCTCTCAGTTTGGTAGTGAAGTCGGACCAACACTAATAAAATCAATATATCTTGTTATTAGCACCTACATGCACGTAAAAATTGACTTCAGATATAACGCAAATTAAAAAAAAGTAAATCAGACTCGAAAGGATTGAATAACAAGAGTTTGAAAAGTTGAAGAGAGTTTAGAAAAATACTCGACCTGGTATAACGATCAGTGTCTCTCAATGAACAGTGTCATTGAACAACGAATATTTACGCGTTTCTAATTAGTACGAACGTGTACAACCGCACGAGAAACTTTCGATCAACTCTAACAATGTTCCCGTTCAATTTTCCCAATAGAGCACGCGCCGCTTCTTTCGAGTTCCCCCATCTCGCAGACAAAATCTAGTCGATCTAATCGTATTCGCGGATACAGCAACGGTCTATTTATTATTTATAGATTCATTCGTGGTTCGTCCAGCCTGACGACAAATCCGTGGATCGAGAAACATTTGTTCATGGACGGCCTATTGTCTGCGCGGTTAAAACGATCAGAATAGTCCCTTCCTTCTGGCCTACGATTTAACGGAACGCTACCAACGTTGATTTCAACGAGCATCTGTGTGTTCTTCTTTCTTTTTTCGAATCGATTCGGGAAAGCGATGTCTCGCGCAACCGATCGAATCGTCGACGGGCAACCCTCGGGATCCGTGATCGATCCACGACGCGTCGATCCTCTCGTGCCACACCGCGCAACGTTTCCACAGTCAACCGGAGGAAAGAAAGGGGAAGAACGGACGACTAAACGGTACGCGACACGAGTACAGGTCCTCTTAGAAAGTAGCAAACGGTTCTGTTTTTTTTTTTGGCGTTTCTTACGGTATAAATTTCACTTTATGTACAAGGAACATCTAACATCGTAGTGGATAGCGTTTTATACACGGGTCTGCAAGACCGATTCGTCAGTTTTCTTGAGCGTGTCTCTTTCTCTCTCTCCCTCTCTCTCTCTCTCTCTTTCTCTCTTTCGTTCTCTCTATATTTTTCTTTCTCTCTCTCTCTCTCTCTCTCTCTTTCTCTCCCTCCCACGTAACACCTAAAATTCATTATTATCGACTAGCTAGCTGAATGTACTGCGTTTGATTTCTGTATCGTAAGAATGTTTTGTTGCATTTGATTGAAGTTCGATTGATCGCAAGAAAGAAGTTCGCGCCGGTAAACGGGGTCTCCTCGCCGCCGTCGACGACGTCCCGGTCCGATCGACCGCACTCGTAGGTCCGTCGACGCGTCCCCGCGACATTTCCTCTCGGGACTACCATCGCAAGAGCCGTAGGATCTCTCGCGAAATGTTGTACGCCGTCCTCGTCCGGATCCTCCCGCGAACGCGCAGAGATCGACGTCTTCCCGAGCGAGAACTAAACCGGAGACCGGTCGCTCCGAAAAGTCTGTTCCTCTTTCGGCCCTCTACCCCCCTCCCCTCCTCGTCCGTGGTCTGATATCTTTCATCCCACGACGACGCCTCATCGACGGATACCACTTGTTCCATCTGCAGCCGCCTTGTTTCCTGTCGTCCGCACCTCGTGTTCCTCGGCACCCGGCCGAGGCACCCTCTACCCCCCCTCCGTCAGTCGCTGGCTCGTCGCCACCCTCGATATGGTGGCTGAATGGCGACGCGACGAATCCGCGCCAGCCGTCAGTCCTGTTTGCCGTCGCCTCGAGGTCCCAGGGAATTTCGATCTCCGAAGGTGTGTGTCTGCTGCCACTACCCCCCTCGGACCGGTCGAGAATCCCCGCGACGGAGCCCGAGCGGCACACGGCCGAGACCACTTACAGCAAGGTCGATGCCGTCAGAACGTCCGGGACGACTGGCTTCGGAGGGGGGTCCAAGCATCACACGCGCATCTCGCTCATTGTTGCCTGGGACACGCGACTCGACACGGTGGCGCTTTGCAGCAGGGGCTGGTTTTCGGGGGGACTCTTTGCTCGAGGGGGTGGTGGAGCTCTTGGTACTGTCAGGTGTATGGACCCGTTTGGTGGACCCTGAAAAATTACCAGGTGTTAGAGAATTCGGATTCCGGTTGATCCACCCGCGACCAGCGTCGTTAGCGTCGATCGAGGCTTCTAGGTGTATCCTGTCGATCGAAGCGGCTGGAAAGTGGTGCATTGTTCGGTGGCTGTTATCGTTTATCTATTTACGATGTTGGTATGCGGCTTTTCGTTTCGTTCGATTAGTAGAGAATACAGTAATGTCTCTCTAATTGACGCTCAGATTGTCGAAATCAGATCTCAATTGACGAAATTGGACAATTTGGGAAGAGGAGATACGATTATTCGAGCCTTGCAGCTCGTTTTTATAGTTGTTGATAATTCGAAACTGTAAAACGAGGCGCAAGACTCAAATTAATGGTATCTCCTCTTCCCAAATTGTCCATTTTTGTGCGCAATCTAAGCGTCAATAAGGGAGACATTACTGTACTCTCCGATTGACGCGAAATTTGTAAACAAAAATGGATAGCTTGGGAAGAGGAGATGCGATTATTTGGGTCCCGCGGCTCGTTTATATCGTTGTTAACAATCGGCGACTATAAAAACGAGCCGCGAGGCTCGAATAGTCTTATCTGTATATAATAGTCTTATATAATAGTATATAATATATGATAGTAATATTATATAATAGTATATAATATATAATAGTAATATTATATAATAGTATTATAATAGTCTTATCATCAAATTGTCCATTTTTGTTTACAAGCTGAGCGACAATTGCAGAGAATTTACTGTATTACTTTGCTACGGTGGCCCATAAAAGTGTTCGCACACTTTCTGTAACGCAATAACTTTTTTAGAACTCAAGTGAATGACTTGAATGTTTTTTAGATGATAGAGAAACTAGCCTACTAGACGATGGCTGAAATGCCTTTTTTAAATTTTGCTATTACTTGGGATGACGGAAAAAGAGATATGAAACTCCCGGTTTTTAACTTTTTTATCTAAAGCTATAACAAGAATTTTTTAAATGTCTTTCACAGATCTTGGTAACTTTGATCGAGATCTGTTAACCCAGAATCGAAAGATTTAAAAAATTGCAGATTTCTTTCAGTTTTTGGTGAAAATCGTGATAAAACTGCGATTTTTGTCATCTTTAATTCGTTGTACCTCGTAACAACGTCAACTGATTTCGATAAAGTTTTCATCGTGCATATAAGTTACCGAGGCATTTTTTAAATTTCCGCTATAGGCTCGGATAAAAAAGTTAAGAAACGGGAGCTTTTATTTCTTTTTTTTTGTCATTCCAAGTAATAGCAAAATTTTTAAAAATTATTTTAGTCATCGTCTAGTAGACTAGACCCGCTATCATCGGAAAAAAACAATTAAAATCATTTGATCCAGTTTCAAAAAAGTTATTGCGATTTAAAGGATGTACAAACACTTTTGTGGGCCGCTATAAATACTATTTTGTTTATGTTCGACATTGATCAGCGATTTCCTCGATTGTAATACACCTTACACAGAGAAACCTCGATCAGTAACCTCGGTAATCTAGATTCTACATAAAATCATCAAGAATCTCGAACAGGCAGCTTGTAACTACACGATGAATATCCATGCATTTACTAGTATACTGTGGCGCATAACTTTAGCATCGTCTAAATTTTTTGTATTGCTCCTAGATAGAAATGCATAAAAATCAGTCATGTCAATGTGATATCTTGAGTGCGAATGATTTTTATGTCTAAATTGTTATTAATCGTTATTAAATAATTGTTATTAATTTTTATGTCTAAAGTTTTTATTGCTTCTGGATAGATGTGAATAAAAAATCTATCATAACAATGCGACACTTTGAGAAAGCTTCGTGAATGCGAACGATTTTGATGTATTCTTACCAAAAACCGACAAACATTGAAAGCTTAGGCGGTGCTAATGTTATGGACCGCGTTCTAGATCACATACGGTTATATCCACGAGGGACATTTGATAAACAAAACAAGCCGCTTTGAGCCAACTTTACACAGTTATGTATCAGTGATTTGTTAGAGTACAATTAACGTTTCTACAAGATTATCGGTAAGCAATTGTGTTCGTACAAACGTTCGCGAGTCTATTGGTAGCTATACTAAATTCTCCTTAATTCGCGCTCAAATTGTGCATAAAAATGGACAATTTGGGAAGGGGAGATACGATTATTCGAGCCTTGCGCCTTGTTTTTATAGTTATTGATGATCGGTGACTGTAAAAACGGGTCGCCGGGCTCGAATAATCGCATCTCTTCTTCCCAAATTTTTAATTTTTCTGTACAAGCTGAGTGTCAATTAGGGAGAATTTACTGTACAATAAATACTCCGTAATTCGCGCTCAGATTGCGCACAAAAGTGGACAATTTGGGAAGGAGAGATGCGATTATTCGAGCCTTGCGACTCGTTTTTATGGTTGCCGATTGTAAATAACTACAAAAACGAGCTACAAGGCTCGAATAATCGCATCTCTCCTTCCCAAATTGTCCACTTTTGTGCGCAATCTGAGCGCGAATTACGGAGTATTTATCTGTCTCTTATACACATCTAGATGTGTATAAGAGACAGTATATATATATATATATCTGTCTCTTATACACATCTAGATGTGTATAAGAGACAGTATATATATATATATATCTGTCTCTTATACACATCTAGATGTGTATAAGAGACAGTATATATATATATATATCTGTCTCTTATACACATCTAGATGTGTATAAGAGACAGATAAATACTCCGTAATTCGCGCTCAGATTGCGCACAAAAGTGGACAATTTGGGAAGGGGAGATGCGATTATTCGAGCCTTGTAGCTCGTTTTTGTAGTTATTTACAATCGGCAACCATAAAAACGAGTCGCAAGGCTCGAATAATCGCATCTTTTCTTCTCAAATTGTTAATTTTTGTTTCCAAGCAGAGTGTCAATTACGGAGAAATTACTGTACAATAAATACTCCGTAATTCGCGCTCAGATTGCGCACAAGAATGGACAATTTGGGAAGGGAAGATGCGATTATTCGAGCCTTGTAGCTCGTTTTTGTAGTTATTTACAATCGGCAACCATAAAAACGAGTCGCAAAGCTCGAATAATCTCTTCTTCCCAAATTGTTAATTTTTGTTTCCAAGCAGAGCGTCAATTAGGGAAAATTTACCGTACCGCGCACAGAAAACATTCTGGAAAGTGACACGAGAGTACGGAAACTACTGCTCGCAGATGTATCGATCATTTACGATCAAACAATAAACCTATCATTTCTCTTGCAATTTTATCTCATGAAAAGTTTCCGGGAACCACGGAACAGGAAATCGAATAGCTCCTCGAGTGGTACTCGATGTTATGCCCGCGCGCGGTTATCGCTCGAACTCCCGACAAGTTTCTATCGACGCGAACGATTGTCAACAAGTTTTCACGCCGCGGAAAAAGTTTGCATATTTTTCACGATCACCGTACGCCGGCCGTCGAGATTCATGACAATAACGAGATTGTTCCGCGAACTTCCGACCGTTCGAATGACGCCGAACGGAATCAGGTTCCGCTGTCTTTCAGTGGGAAATCGTGCTGCAGGAGCGGTTGATATTATTCAATGATGAAGAATTTCAGGGAATTGGAGTCTTAGGGAACGGTCCGCGGATTTTATGCATTTACGACGCTGTCGAATAGATGCGATTTAAAGAGCAGAAAGAAGATTTTCAAGAGTTTCCGAATCGCAATGTATTATCTCTAATACATTGAAATTGTTAAAGAAAGGCGAAACTTTCTGTTTCTTTCGTTCCATGCAGATTTCGATTTTGCATAAAGATCTGCAGTCCATTCAGAAAGTTGAGGATTTTGCGTACATTGACGAACGAAAAATTGCACGATTTTTGTGAATCTCTATGAAGAAAATTAATGAATGTTAAATGCGATAGGAGAGAGATTTTGTCGATAGGTACATGACGATTTTTACATAATGTAGGTATTTAAGTTGAAGATGTTACGATTACATTCAATCGGAGAAACAAAGAACTGTAAAATTAATTTCTTAGTTTGTCAATTTTGAAAGCATAGACTTAACAATGATTGCTTTTTAAGGCATTATGGCAGTGTGGTCAACTTCAAGAGTGATTTAATATGATATATATATATATATATATATACAGGGTGTCCCAAAATTATGGTATTTCCGGGAAATGAGGAGTTCCTGAGGTGATTTGAAGTAACTTTTTCCTTTACAAAACTTTTTCCCGAGGCATCGTTTACGAGTTATTGATGAAAAACAATGACCAATGAGGGGCGAGCTCGTTTGGCGCTAGGCGGCCCAGCCAATGAGCGGAGTTGGGCTTCGTGCGTTCGTTGGTCAGTGTTTTTCATTAATAACTTGTTAACGATGCCTCGGACAAAATTATTGTGAAGGAAAAAGTTGTTTCGAATGACTTCAGTAATCTCTAATTACCCGTAAGTACCATAATTTTGGGACGCCCTCTATAATAATACATATTATTATTACATTATTAATTATTATTATTGTTATTATTATTATTATTATTATTATTATTATTATATATAATAATATAATATATATAATTAATATGTAATATATACATCTGTGATTAAAACCGTAGGAAAATATCCTTAAAATTGAAGATGTTTAAAGCCGTCAAAGTGGGAATAAAGTAAATCCTCCCTAATTTTCCTTCAGTTTGTAAACAAAAATGGACAATTTGGGAAGAGGAGATACAGTTATATTAAATTATCCATTTTTATTTACAAGCTGAAGAAATATTGAAGAGAATTTACTGTATTTCCTACACGAAATAATTGCAAAAATAAAGAGACCTCTGAGAAACAAATATCCACGTCAGAAAATGTGATGCGGAGTAAAAATTGCGCCGCTTTGAAAAACGGTACGAACGAGAACCACTGAGCACCGTTTCGGAGTTCGATTACGAGGACGATGGCTCAATTTGAACGCGAACACGAGCTCGCTCCTCGAAGTCCCCGCGAATTAACGTCGAAGAAATCTTGGTTTAATATTTCCCATAATATTTAGCGGGGAATCACGTAATGGTACAAGTTAGCAGGGACACTGTCCCGGATATTAAGTCATTAAATGTTTAACGAGCCAGCCAGTTCCGGCTGCTAGCAATTTGTTAAGCTCGATCAAGGTGCTTCGCCCGGACACTTCTTCCTCGACGAAACGACGAGTTCTTAAAAAAAAGAAGCAGGGATCATAATACCAGGCCACCGTGACTCTTATTGTCCATAAACGGGAGGGTTTATTTTCAGATGGTACGGGATCGGGAACGGCCGGCCAGGGAGGTGTGGGGAGAGCGGAGGGCGGTGAGCAGACGGGAAACGGGGTTGAAAAATTTAACCGTTGCCCGTTGATTTATAAAAGTTCTGTTAACGACCGAAAGGCCTCCGGAACTTTAATTCATAATCCTATTAAGAAACTTTCGAAAGTTCTAAGCCGGGGCTAGCCGGGCGAAATTTACACTGCGAGAGCGCCCGACATTCTTCGTTGGTCATTATTCTACCTACGGACAGTATCGTCCTTTTATCTCGTTACTAAATTTCCGCGAGCCACGGGTTCGAGACGAACGTGAACTTCATTAAGCGAAACTTTAATGACCGGCCGTTAACCTCGTGGCGTCGCGCCGCGCGACGTCTCGTCGGGCCCCGCCGGCCCGGCCCGGCCCGGCCCGGGTTTCGACTTTCATTTTTACCGGAGATTTCAATTTCGCAGGGGGAATCTCATCGCTCTCGTCCACTCCGCTCCTTTACTCTTCTTAAACGCGATGAAGATCTTATGAGAATTAACTTCCGCGAACGAAGAGGGACGGCGGGTTGGATATTTTCCTTCAAGCTGATTCGTTTACTTTAACCGGAAGTCGTTTCGAACCTGATACACTGCCGCCAGTCAAGCGGTCGATTTGACTTTTCGATGCTCGGGAGTTTCGTCTCGATACGCTCAGTGGTTCTCATTCGTCGGTAAACTCTGAAACAAATTCTGGATGAACGAATCTTGGGGCTTAAGGAATACGGTTTGATCGGACGTGTACACGGACGATTGGTTCGTACGCTATACCGGGCGAACTGATCGAACGATTGAAAGAAATAATATTTGTGCTGCACGCGTTTTGCACGTTTTTATTCGCGCGAATTTGTCGGTGCACGCATTTCGTTTGAATTATGTTCGATTCTTAGTCCGATTTGGTGCTGTCGAAGTTATATGTAACTTGAAATAAGTACAATGAAAAAATGAGAAATAATATTTGTGCTGCACGCGTTTTGCACGTTTGTATTCGCGCGAATTTGTCGGTGCACGCATTTCGCTTGAATCAGTTCGATTCTTAGTCCGATCTGGTGCTGTCGAAGCTATATGTAACTTGAAATAAGTACAGTAAAATCTCCCTAATTGACGCTCAGATTGTGCACAAAAATGGCCAATTTGTGGAAGAGCAGATACGATTTTATAGTTACAGATTTTATAGTTATAGATTTTATAGTTTTATAGTTAGATTTTATAGTTAGATTTTATAGCTCCTTTTTATAGTTACCGATTGTCAAAAATCATAAAAACGAGCTGCAAGGCTCGAATAATCGTATCTCCTCTTCCAAAACTGTCGATTTTTGTGTACAATCCAAGCGTCAATTAGAGAGACTTTACTGTACAATGAGAAAATGAGAAAATAACTGTCTCGATAAAGGAAGAAAAGAAGTTTTTCTTGTCGAGAAATGCATACTCAAAGATTTGATTGTTTTGGGATTCGTTAACCCCGTGCCGTACCATTTTCTTCATGGTTACAATTATTAGAAGTTCTTCGATTGTAATAATTTCTAAGAAAAAATAAGCGATTCATATTTATTGCAGATTCATATTTATATTCAGTGCCTGCATTTAGTTAAATATCGATGAGAAGAGAACAGAATTACAGTCCCATTTAACGCTAGATTTACAGAACCCGTCAAAATGACGGGTCACTAATTTTTTAATTTACGATTATTCATACCGTAAAGATGCATTCACGAGTTATTTACACAATTTATACGTTACTTACGGCAAACGTTACAATAACATTCGTTCAAAAAATCAGAATAAACTTACTTTTATAAACTTTCATAAACTTGCTTACTTTTATAATCTAATATAAAACAGCTGTTTTTTGTGCTCCGTAAATCCAGTGTTAAAGGAATTCTCGACTGTTCATCTTGATCTTTAAAACGACAAACGACAACAATTCAAGTAATCCGTCGAATTGCGAATATTGTTTTAATATATTAATAATATATAATATATTTAATATATTATATATATATTATTACAAATTGCGTCGTCGCTTTCGAACGATTATCATTGAAATTCTCAATTGTTGAACCGCGACTTTTTTCAACGGACCATTAGAAAACAGCGGTTACTTAAAATGTCGATAACGCTGGAAAATCGAAAGAAAATAATTCGGAAGAGAGATACGGAGGAGGAGGAGAAGGAGGAGGAAAGAGAAACGCTAAGGGGTCGAGATGATGATAAGGGTGTGTGAGATGGATCGACGGTTCAGATTAACACAGTTTCTCCGGCAATGGCCGAGTAATACGATAGACTCTCACTTGGGTTTGTGCGCTCATGTCCTGTATGACGGAAGCTCGGGGAAGAGTGGCATGCTGTTGCTGATGTTGCTTTTGATAGTGATGTTGATGAGGCAACGTGTGAGTTCCCTGGCCCTGTTGGAGAAGCGTGTTGGGATCGTTCGGAGGGCCTTTCATAACGTTCCTGTAACCACGATCGATTGTTACGAGCACCGTAACACTTCGGAACGAGATGCAATCATCTTGTTAAATAAATTTACGGTCGTGCAGCTGGTAGGGGGTGGAAAAGGTGGCCATTGTTGGGACAGATACGATCGATCGAGATCCTCTACGCGACCGACCTTCTCGGTTTCACGATTACGAACAGTTTATTTACAGGGGGATCGTGATTAACCGCTGACTATTTACGTATCGGCGGGAAGAAAGATGCAAAAAGGACGTGGACAATTATTATTAAGTCACAGGCAAAAACTTAAACTGACTTAAAAATTAAGTCACTTAGAATCAAAATTTAGTGACCTAAAATTAAGTCACAGTCCGCTCTTTCTCTTAAATCGCGTTAATTTCGTATCGTTGATCGGACTTTCATCGATTCACGCGCCTGTGACTCAATATGATACAAACATACGCATGGGTCTCTTTTTACGCTAGTATTTTTTCGCATGATTCACAGTTAGTCTTTTTAAACACGTTTATAGTTACGCGTAATCGTACGCGGTTTTCATTCAGCGGGAAGAAAATGTATTCGTTGTGCTGTAATCGAAAGCGACGTTAAATAGGATGACAATTTTTAAATAAAATATTTGATGCGTTTTTTACCGAATAAAGCGTTTCTGCAAAATATATCACAGGTGATATATTCATGCTGTAATCGAAAGCGACGATAAATAGGATGTCAATTTAAAAAAAAAATATTTTGATGCGTTTTTTACTGGATAAAGCGTTTCTGCAAAATGTATCACAGGTGATATATTTTGGTTGTAGACCAACTTTTCTACATAGGAATTTCGTATATGGAAAACTTCTCTTCTCGTAAAAAGAAACTCAGATGTACATTTAGGAATTAGATGATTTCGATCAATTTTCATCTACGACTATTTGCGAATGGTGTCGCTGATTGCTGTCTAGGCTAAAAGGTGCATTTTGTAACCAATACGAACAGCCGCGCTGCGATAATGGCACAGCTCGAAGAACGTAATTTTCGAGGTGTTGCTGCGAAAACACACGTTTGTCTTCGTAATTTGAGCGAAGATACTTAAGCGAAGCAATTAGTTTATTCTGTGCCGGTATGTATTTTATAAACATTAGAAATCTGATCGGTAAAGCAGTGTACGATCATGTTCAAAAGCAGTTTTTACTTCTTATGTGGAGCATACTTTTTCGAGTTGTGTCGCCTTCGCAGCAAGGTTGCGATATACAGTTTAAAAGTAGGAACTATTTTCTGACAAAGAAAGGTCCTTCGAAGTGTCATATCATAGGAGACATATATATATATAGGAATATGTCTTCTATTTAAAGAGCTTTTAGCCTATTAACATTTTATCTACCGGATGCTTATTAATGGAATTCTCAATTATTATACTATACTAAGAGAAATCTAATTATATTAGGTAATGGTACGGGGAACAACTTGTTGTTATACTGTGTAAATAATTAGTCCTATTAAACGTTTAATAAATAGCTGCTGTCCGACAAAATCAAACTTTTCTTCCTGATTTCCTATAGCCGCTATTAATGCATCTGAAGAAATTTGTAAAACTAGAATGCATTGGCCCCTTTTGTTACCCAGAGTAAATTATAGTAAATTATAAATTATAGTATTATATATAGTATTACTATAAATTATATATAAATTATATATTATAGTATTACATATAGTATTATTATAAATTGTATATTATAGTATTATATATTATATATGATATCATATTATTATAAATAATAGTATAGTAAATTATAGTAAATAAATAGACTTTTCGTCGCGAAATAAATCAGAGTTTGGTCATTAGTAGCCACAGAAACATATGAATATAAACTACATAAATAAATGATAATTTTAAAAATGTTAAACTTCTTGAAACATATTGTTAAACAATAGAGGCATGAAACTAGTAATAAAATATTCAAATATTATTTTCACAAAGTGGGTGCCCATTGGATTCGCTGTTGATTACGCATAGCTTCGGCCTTGCCGAACCGAGGAAAGCGAGCAGCGAATATTTTCTCAGCCTGCTCGAAGTGTAAATCGTTCCGACACTTCTTCAGAAATGTCTACAGAATCCGATCCTGGGTAGAGTTTTCGTTGCCGGTCAAAGAATTTTTCGTAAAAATACGGAAATATCGCGGAGAAACTACGCACGTCGACACTTTTTTACACTTTGACATTAATTTATAGTTATTTAAGACCAAAAACAATTAATAAATTGTATGCCACTACATCCGGAAAACTTTCCTCTGCTTTTTGAGGCCGATTAGAACTTTGTAACGTTTTTACTTTTCGTGCAATACCGCATTTTTGTCAGAATATTTTGGGTTTTTACGAAAGCTCGTTTTTTTCGAAAACTGAAAATGATGGAGCAATTCGGTTTTCGGATTCCTGTTCGAGAAGCGAAGCTCTACAAGAATTTCATAGCGACTATAGGAAATCAAAACTCGTGTCGGACAGTGTTACAGACTGTCGGAAATTATAAAATGATCGCCGCCGGTAGATAACGTGTTAAAGTATAATTTAAGTATACAGTAATGTCTCTCTAATTGACGCCCAGATTGCGCACAAAAATGGACAATTTGGGAAGAGTAGATACGATTATTCGAGCCTTGCGGTTTATTTTTATAGTTATAAATTGTCCACAATTATAAAAACGAGCCGCAAGGCTCGAATCATCGTATCTCCCCTTCCCAAATTATCCAATTTCGTGGACAATCCGCGCGTCAGTAAAAGGGTGACATTACTGTAATTTGCACGGCGTCTAAGATCACAGAACATTGTAAGCTGTAGCTTCGGCGTAAACGAGTCCTGCAGTTCGCGTACTGGCTCGGTTAGATTTTATAATGAACAATCTAAGGCTATGCCGTAGCCGGAGAACACCGGTGGCCACCTTTTCGTTGACGCGTTCCACTGTAAGCTCGTCAAGCGCAGCTTGAACCTTGAAACGCGACGTATTTCGTTCGTTCGAACGAGCCACGATTTCCTCGAGTACGATACCTTCTTAGCATCTCGTTCTCAACGTCGACGATAACTTGACCACCCCCGGGGAAATGGGAATGCGGCGGGGGCGGTTGTTTCAGCTCGGTGAAGCCCCGTGGCCCGCACTGTTGATTCAACATCTGTTGCTGCTGGAGGCTCTTCACCTCGAGCCGCGTCTTGTCCCGTTGATAATAAACCCCCGCGAAAATGAGGACGTTGAGGATCAGCAAGCTGCATCCGATGGCGATCGTCACGCTCAAAGCCGTCGAGTACGCTGCGTACCTGTTCAAACAATCGTGCTGTCAGAACACGGTCGAGTAGCAACGTTTCGGAGAAAAGTATATTCTGTGCTGTACGAATAGGGTGAAAGTGGGTATTACCGCGGACGACCCAAACACTGCGGTATTTTATAAGAGTAATAATATATATCATTTTATAGCGTGTAATCTTCCAAAAATGAATCTCATAATTTTTTATATGTTTAATATCGATTATTTATGACATACGAGTAACAGCAATCGCAGTTTTAATTCAATTAATGACGTTTGGCATTGCACGAAAGGCATTTATATTTTGGTAATTAATAATAAACTATTCGTTTCAGCGTGATTTTTAGATAAAATAATCGTTGCTTTGATGAAAAATCGACGTACAGTGCCATTATAATCTATCCTCAAATATTATTTACTAATATAGTATTTGGCGCGTCGAGTAGCAACGTTTCGGAGAAAAGTATATTCTGTGCTGTACGAATAGGGTGAAAGTGGGTATTACCGCGGACGACCCAAACACTGCGGTATTTTATAAGAGTAATAATATATATCATTTTATAGCGTGTAATCTTCCAAAAATGAATCTCATAATTTTTTATATGTTTAATATCGATTATTTATGACATACGAGTAACAGCAATCGCAGTTTTAATTCAATTAATGACGTTTGGCATTGCACGAAAGGCATTTATATTTTGGTAATTAATAATAAACTATTCGTTTCAGCGTGATTTTTAGATAAAATAATCGTTGCTTTGATGAAAAATCGACGTACAGTGCCATTATAATCTATCCTCAAATATTATTTACTAATATAGTATTTGGCGCGTCGAGTAGCAACGTTTCGGAGAAAAGTATATTCTGTGCTGTACGAATAGGGTGAAAGTGGGTATTACCGCGGACGACCCAAATACTGCGGTATGTTATAAGAATAATAAAATATAACATTTTGTAGCGTGTAATCTTCCAAAAATGAATCTCATAATTTTTTATATGTTTAATATCGATTATTTATGACATACGAGTAACAGCAATCGCAGTTTTAATTCAATTAATGACGTTTGGCATTGCACGAAAGGCATTTATATTTTGGTAATTAATAATAAACTATTCGTTTCAGCGTGATTTTTAGATAAAATAATCGTTGCTTTGATGAAAAATCGACGTACAGTGCCATTATAATCTATCCTCAAATATTATTTACTAATATAGTATTTGGCGCGTCGAGTAGCAACGTTTCGGAGAAAAGTATATTCTGTGCTGTACGAATAGGGTGAAAGTGGGTATTACCGCGGACGACCCAAATACTGCGGTATGTTATAAGAATAATAAAATATAACATTTTGTAGCGTGTAATCTTCCAAAAATGAATCTCATAATTTTTTATATGTTTAATATCGATTATTTATGACATACGAGTAACAGCAATCGCAGTTTTTATTCATTTAATGACGTTTGATATTCGGAAGCTTATGAAAAACGCTGATTCGAAAGGCATTTATATTTTGGTAATTAATAGTAAACGTTTCAGCGTGATTTTTAGATAAAATAATCGTTGCTTTGATAAAAAAATCGACGTATAGTGCCATTATAATCTATCCTCAAATATTATTTACTAATATAGTATTTGGCGCGTCGAGTAGCAACGTTTCGGAGAAAAGTATATTCTACTATACGAATAGGGTGAGCGTGGGTATTACCGCGGACGACCCAAATACTGCGGTATATTATAAGAGTAATAAAATATAACATTTTATAGAGCGTGTAATCTTCTAAATATGAATCTCATAATTTTTTGCATGTTCAATATCGATTATTTATGACATACGAGTAACAGCAATCGCAGTTTTAATTCATTTAATGACGTTTGATATTCGGAAGCTTATGAAGAAACACTGATTCGAAAGACATTTACATTTTAGTAATCAATAATAAACTATACGTTTCAGCGTGATTTTTAGACAAAGTATTCGTTTCTTCGATAAAAGATCGACGCGCCCGTTAAACCACAAAATACCATACAATTTTGCTAATAATTATTTTTCCTATTTCAAAGCCGAACGAGAAAATCGGCGACACCGGTCCGCATTCGAGCGACGCGCCGAGACGACCGCCTTACTAAAAAAATTGCTGCGATCCCTTAAAAATCCTGCGGAACGTTCCAAAAAGCCCAGAAAGTTCGCGCACGACCACGGTCACAATGCAGCGAAATGATCAAACTAAACACCGCAAAGGGAAGAGTTTTCAGGAAAAAGTAAAAAAAAGGAAAAGAAACAGAACGAGAACGAGAAAAGGACAAACAGAGGGAACGATGTCCAACAGCTCGGCTCCAACGTGCAATCCCAAAGTGAGAGACGAGCCGTGTAGGCAGCATGCACGCCGCCGCGGCATGAGAAACTTATTAATTTGAGGTCTAATGGAGAACGCGAAACAGTTTCCGGGGAATCCGGCTCTATTATCGTCGTTGCCGACGACTCTAACAAAGTTAGCCGCAATTCAGCCGGGAACGCGGCGATGTTCCCGGTCGGGGCCTGGAAAGGATTCCGGCCAAGGGAACGGTTCGCCGTAAAACGTCTGTCTTCATTAGCTCTCTGCCGGATGAGGGGACGGGGATGTGGGCAAGGTTGCTTATATTACGCACCCAGCTGCGTCCAAACTGGCCAGGGTGTCGGTGCTGGCGTTGTGCACGTTTTGAAGATTCGTGCTCTGTATGTAGCTGGCGCAGGTTGCGGCGCTATAGTCGGTGGTAGCCGGCGGCTCCGTGGTCACGTTCTTACGTTTGAATTCTTCGCTGATCCTGCTTAACGGGTCCGGCCTGACCGATCCGTCGTACAGGCTGGGATCCGAGTGTCCGCGGAACAGATTGTGCCGGGAGTCCACGTCCTCCATTCCGGCGCGATGAAGCTCCGGGACCAGCCGCAACCACACCGAGAGCTGATGAGCTCGATAATGATTCTTCATTTTCGGTCGGTTACCTGGAAACCGATGGGGGAACGTTTTAATCACGATTATAAAGCTCTCGGTTTCGCACGCGAAAGATATGAAACATTATTATTATTATTATTTTGGTTAATGAGAAAATTCGAGAGCCATTCGAACCTATACTTCTTTATGCGGTTTTATCGAACTACGTCTGAAACGTCAAATATTTGCGTCGTACATCGAGGTTTGGAGCTTCTATTCGCTTTTTACGCGAAGTAAAATCGTAAAATCATATCAATGATTATATATGTAATTTAACTTAGTATATATTATCTCTTTGTATATAAATATATAATATAATATATATTAAGAGAGGCTTTATATATAATATATAAATATATAATATTAATATATAATATAATATATATTAAAAGGCTTTATATAAATTATATTTATATATTTATATTAATATATATTATAGTATATATTTACATGTACATAATATTTATTATAAAGACCTTTTATTATATATGATTATCTGAAAGAAATAATACAATATTGGATTCGTATTGAAACCAGCTATCGTAATATGACTAAAAAAGTGTATGGTTCCATTTAAAAAAATCAACTTGACCTTGAAATATCTGTCTCTTATACACATCTAAGATGTGTATAAGAGACAGGTATAAAGAGATGTTTTAGGTCTGTCTCTTATACACATCTAAGATGTGTATAAGAGACAGGTATAAAGAGATGTTTTAGGTCTGTCTCTTATACACATCTAAGATGTGTATAAGAGACAGGTATAAAGAGATGTTTTAGGTCTGTCTCTTATACACATCTAAGATGTGTATAAGAGACAGGTATAAAGAGATGTTTTAGGTCTGTCTCTTATACACATCTAAGATGTGTATAAGAGACAGGTATAAAGAGATGTTTTAGGTCTGTCTCTTATACACATCTAAGATGTGTATAAGAGACAGGTATAAAGAGATGTTTTAGGTCTGTCTCTTATACACATCTAAGATGTGTATAAGAGACAGGTATAAAGAGATGTTTTAGGTCTGTCTCTTATACACATCTAAGATGTGTATAAGAGACAGGTATAAAGAGATGTTTTAGGTCTGTCTCTTATACACATCTAAGATGTGTATAAGAGACAGGTATAAAGAGATGTTTTAGGTCTGTCTCTTATACACATCTAAGATGTGTATAAGAGACAGGTATAAAGAGATGTTTTAGGTCTGTCTCTTATACACATCTAAGATGTGTATAAGAGACAGGTATAAAGAGATGTTTTAGGTCTGTCTCTTATACACATCTAAGATGTGTATAAGAGACAGGTATAAAGAGATGTTTTAGGTCTGTCTCTTATACACATCTAAGATGTGTATAAGAGACAGGTATAAAGAGATGTTTTAGGTCTGTCTCTTATACACATCTAAGATGTGTATAAGAGACAGGTATAAAGAGATGTTTTAGGTCTGTCTCTTATACACATCTAAGATGTGTATAAGAGACAGGTATAAAGAGATGTTTTAGGTCTGTCTCTTATACACATCTAAGATGTGTATAAGAGACAGGTATAAAGAGATGTTTTAGGTCTGTCTCTTATACACATCTAAGATGTGTATAAGAGACAGGTATAAAGAGATGTTTTAGGTCTGTCTCTTATACACATCTAAGATGTGTATAAGAGACAGGTATAAAGAGATGTTTTAGGTCTGTCTCTTATACACATCTAAGATGTGTATAAGAGACAGACCTAAAACATCTCTTTATACTGAACATTTTTTGTATAAACATTATTTTCGTGGCTCCGATCTGTTCCGAGACATTTCACTGTTCTCAGTTAGGCATAAAACCCTGCATGTGTATATGTGTGTACACAAGGTGGGTCACCACATATTGCCATCTAAATTTACGTCATTATTATTACGCGTGGCGAAAAACGTTTACATCAGTCGATGCATCTTAATATTCTTTACAAAAAAATATTAAACTATTTATGCTAAAAAATCATTAGTTTAGGAGATATTTTCATTTTAATGTTGTTAGGAAATCAAGACTCCTTTGTTGATGTTGTAATGATATATGAAAATGTTGTAATGATATATAAAGATACATAAAATATTAAAATATAAAACTTTAATTTCTATGTGAAATAATTTCAAGTTAGCCATAAGAAATTCATCAAGTATGCGGAAAATCGTCTCGAGTTGCCGACAATAGTTGTTGACAATCCCTTTAAAAACGAGCCGCAATTTGTTCAAGCAGTTTATTCGGAGATGATTGGAGTACAACTCGGTTGCTTGAGAATGTTTCGCGATAGATTCTTCCTTTGTTCGATTTTGTTGACAGAAACAAGAAAGTTAGCAATCAAGTACGACTCGAGAGACTCGACCAAGGGTTCCCCGAGGTTAATCCCTTCAAGGCGATATTAATGCAGGGTAGCAGGATTATAGTAAACGCGTGCACCTGGAGTCTGCTAAGGGTTGTACGACTATATTCCGGGTTATTGTACTTGAAAATGTCGGAGCAATTTAATCCTGCTTGTCGATGAATTATGAACACGGAGCGCTAAATTATCGTGAACGCCAACACTACTATCTCGACATCAGTATACATTCTGCGAATCTATAAACACTTCAACTAACGCGTTGCAATTTCAGTAATCTGAAGCCAGTGTACGATACGATCTCGGCTATCCGAACCTGCGGTGTCTAAATTCTTTGCCAGCGGACTATACGTTTCGCTCGTTAATCTGGCACTTGATCTAGGCAAGTGTTCCATTATCCGGTTAGTCGAGGTGCTATTGTAATCTGTTCGCATAATCGCTGCGTACAACCCTCTATCTGTACTGTATTTTTACTGTCCGATCGAAGAAAGTTCGAAACGGGGACGACCGCTCGGTTTTCATTAAAACAGTTTTAAAACGCGTTTCGTGTATAACGTCCTTAATGGTCAACAGAACGGGCACATTATGGTACTCCATAATGCGAAGTTCATTAAAAAAGTTCCGGAATCGTCTTCGTATCTTTCTCGCGGCTCGGTTCAACCCATCCGCTGTTCTCCCTTCGGCCAGCTGTGCATTATCGAGTTATAAAATTCCGGACGTGTAATGAAGAATTTACGATGGCGCTACTCTGTTTCATTGCAAAGCCCGGGAATTATTCGTGCTCCCATTAAAGTGGCTCCGAACGAAATGAAACGGTTTTCCACGGGAAAATTTCACTTCCTGAATGGAGATACTCCGCGACGTTTCGTTAAATTTTCATCGCGATAAAAAGATATTTCAGCCGAGCGTGTCGGGAACTGAGAAACCGGGAAACCGCCTCTCTTCCGTTGGAAATGAAAGCCGCTGTTTCGTTCGAGGAATTTTATTCGCGGCTCGGGTAGGCCATTTCTACGCGATTGGTGCGTTTCCAACTTAAATAGGTGCCAATCCTTTGTACGACGTTCGGATCTTCATAAGAGCGTGCTCCGAAAGAACATGTTCTATGCGCTTCTAAGTCTCCATAATGCGTTTTCGCGATCACAAATCGCGTCGAGTATTTCACAAGTTTAGAAACGCAGCGTTTCCAGCTGGAAATTCGACTTTTACTCGATCGAACTCCTCGGATATCGCAATGATGCTCAAAGAAATCTATAGCAAATACTCGCTCTACAGTAAATTAACGTGAAAATTGTCAATAAAAATGGATAATTTGGGGAGTGGAGATGCGATTACTGGAGCCTTGCGGCTCGGTTTTATAGTTGTTGACAATCGGTAACTATAATAACCTTGACATAATTTAAATAGGTGCCAATCCTTTCTATGACGTTCGGATCTTCATAAGAGCGTGCTCCGAAAGAACATGTTTTATGCGCTTCTAAGTCTCCATAATGCGTTTTCGTGATCACAAATCGCGTCGAGTATTTCACAAGTTTAGAAACGCAGCGTTCCCAGGTGGAAATTCGACTTTTACTCGATCGAACTCCTCGGATATTGCAATGATGCTCAAAGAAATCTACAGTAAATTCTCGCTCTACAGTAAATTGACGCGAAAAATTGTCCATAAAAATGGATAATTTTGGAAGTCGAGGTGCGATTACTCCAGCCTCTCGCGGCTCGTTTTTATAGTTGTTGACAATCGGTAACTATAAAAACGAACAGCTAGACTCGAATAATCGTATCTTCCCAAATTATATATAAATTATATATCTGAGCGTCAATTACAGAGACATTACTGTATTTTTCGGATGCATAAAATTCCGATTTATTTGTATATCAAGGGCTTAAGGATGCACAAGAACATGCAATAGTCCAGGAGTATTACTCCACCTTTGATCGCATCTCCAACCTAAGCGCACCTTAAGGATCACTCTCGCTGTTATCTCTATTGTTGAGATGCGGCATAAGCTCTATTCAGATCGATGGACAGATAGAGATATTCAGCTCGGACGACGATCGTAGGAGAAGACAGAAAGGCGCGCACTCGACAGAAATCTGAAGACACGACTTAGGGTTGTTCTGTGATCACCGAGCCGCCTCTGTCGGTCGTCTACGCGTCAGAAAATCCTGGAGGCGTTTACGGGGAGATCTCGCCCCGGGAAACGTTTCCGTGAATGACAGGCCGGCGTGCTGCGGGGCGTAAAGCGGCGCACGGTCCGATTTCCGACAGGTATCCGCTCTGTATCGAGGCTCGTGAATCATTTCGAGACACGTCGCTGACATTTGATTTGCCGAAGTGCGCTCGTGCGGATCGCTAGAGAAGGAAACTGCCTCGAGACAGGCTCCAGACGACTGGCTGCGCCTGAATCTTCCGGTTCGGTTAAAGGAGATCGAGCTCCCTTCATTTCCCTCGATTGATAAGCGAAAATCCTCTGTAACACTTTCGGGACCTGTCGTCTTTGCTCGCGATGGAAGATGTCTCGCGTTTTAACGCTAGATTCACGGAACCCGTCAAAATGGCGGGTCACTAATTTTTTAATTTACGATTATTCATATAAAGATACATTTAAATGTATCTTCGATTTTCGATGCAGCTTCGTTGTTGGTACTGTCGAGAGT